ATCTAGTGATTTACGAGCCTGCATGCCCGATCCGTAGTTGGTTGATTTCAATCCTGCGACGAATACGGATAACTTGCTGAATTAGTTATTATGGAGGGAATTCTTCACAACTTTATTGCTTTGCTTGTTGATCATTAGCGCTTACATGAATAGTATGATCTATACACCCGGTATCTCCATCATGGCCGAGTTCTTTAGTGTGGGTATCGTCACGGGCACGCTCGGTTTGACGCCGTGAGTGTTTGGGGGGAGCCTGTCGTGGCTGTGGGTGCCGTTAAAGCAAAGCACTGAGTCATTGTGATTTACTCTGGACAAAAGCCGGATTGGGTTATGGACTGGGTTCCATGATTTGTGAGCTGCTCACCATGCCACAATTGCATGTACGCAGACGGATACCCTCCCCCATTCACCTCTCTCCTTTCAGTGCAGGCCCCTCCACCAACTTCGATATTCCAGAGACCGTGCGAACATTCGCATACATCTTAGCACTAGCCCTATTGGTCATCTTGCAAGTACCCACCGCATTGGTTAACAATGTTACAGGCTTCATGATTCTATGGTTCTTGGAGCGTCTCATGTGCTCCCCACCTTTGGCTACTGGAGGCGCTTCGATCTGGGAAGTCTTCAGTGAGGAGAACCCGTCCGCTTTGATTGGGTGTTTGAAGATGGAGGTGAGCATACACGCAGCTTTTGGAAAGAATTGGCGATTGGGAGCCTACGGGCGTTGATCTGAGGCAAAGTTCGGTTCTTGAACCAGCGATTGGACCGTTGTTCAGGTGAGCCGTCTCTTCATCACTCCATATTCATTCAGCTTGCAGAAGAACTGACGCTCCTCGACGCCCACTCACAACCAGAGGCTACGCTTCGCAATCTCTCGAAGGGATCCAAGGCTGGCGCTGAACTATCTGACACTTCTCCTTCCAGCTTCACGTTCATAATCCTCAACTTCCTGATTCCCGAAACGCTCGCTAGCAATATGCTCTCCCGTCGCACTCGCGGGCCGAGAAAGGGGACAGGCAGGCCTCATCTAAGGACTAAGGGAGAGTTGATTGCGGAGGGTTTGACAGACAGGAGCGCTGCGCTCATGGGTTTCCTCGGGCCTTTCTGCATAGGTTTGGGAGAGCCCATTGTGTTGGACATCAA